TGTGTTAACAGAGCAACTTCCTATGGAAAAACCATCAGAGCACACTTAGACAATAAAAGGCACTTCAAATACTCAGGAGAAGACAATATTCTCTCTCAAGAATTAAGAACACCACGGCAGTGTAGTAGGATTTGATACCAGGGTGTGAGATGCCTCCTACCTGGGATTGGTATTTGTATTTGGATTGCATTGAATGTGTAAATTTCCTTTGGTAGTATTGCCATTTTCACAATATTGAGTCTTCCTATCCATGAGCAAGGGATATTCTTCCACTTCTCCAGGTCTCTTTTTGTTTCTTGTAATACTGTTTGTAATTTTCTTTGAATAGATCCTTTGTGTTTCTGGTTAGATTTACTCACAATTATTTAATTTTGTGATTAGCTATTGTGAAAGATATTATTTTAGCTCTCGATCAGTATTCTCTTTTTCATTGTAGACAATCCAACTGATTTTTGTATGTTGGTCTTATATCCTGCCACTTCGCTGAATTGGTCAACTATGTCCAGTAGTTTTCTTGATGAGTTTTTAGGGTTTTCTAAGTATATTATCATATCATCTGCATAGAGATAATTTTACCTCCTCTTTGCCAATTTGGATACCTCTTATTTCCTGCTCTTGTCTTATTGCTATTGCTAAGACTTCCAATACAATATTGAATAAGAGAGTTGATAGTGGGCATTCTTGCCTAGTTCCTTTTTTTAAAGGGAATGCCTTTAACCTCTCTCCATTGAGAACAATGTTGGCTCTCGGGTTTGCATAAATACTTTTTTACTATGTTGAAGAAATTCCCCTCTAATCCTATTTTGTTGAGTGCTTTAATCAGGAAAGAGTGTTGGATTTGTCAAAGTCCTTTTCTGTATCAACTGATAGGACCATGTTGGTTCTTGTTCTTTGTCTTGTTAATGTGATGAAGTACATTGATTGTTTTTCTTATGTTGAACCATTCTTGCATACCTGTTATGAATCCCACTTGGTCATGGTGAATTATTTTTTTGATGTATCATTGGATTCTATTGGCCAGTATTTCATTTAGAATTTTTGCATATATGTTCATAAGAGATATTGGCCTATAGTTTTCTATTTTGGTGGTGTCCTTTTCTGGCTTTGGTATCAAGGATATGTTTGCTTCATAGAATGAGTCTGAAAGAAGCCCATCTTTTTCTATTTTCTGAAATAGTTTATGTAGAATTGGTGACAGTTCTTCTCTGAATGTTTGATAAAATTCACTTGTAAAACCACCTGGTCCAGAGCTTTTATTGGTTGGAAGTTGTTTTATTACCTTTTAATTTCTTCTTTTGTAATGGGTCTGTTCAGATGTTCAATGTCTGTATCAGTTTAGGTAGGTTGTGCATTTCTAAGTATTTGTCCATTTCCTCTAGGTTTTCATATATGTTTGAGTATAGTTTTTCATAATATTCTAACATTAGCATTTTTATTTTACTTGGTTCTTTTGTGATGTTGCCTGTTCCATTTCTTATTCAGGTTATTTGTGTCTTCTTGTTTTCTTCAGTTAGTTTTACTAGTAGTTTGTCGATTTTATGGACCTTTTCAAAAAACCAACTCTTAGTTTTGTTGATGGTTTCAATTTTTTTTTCAGTTTTCTATTTCATCTATTTATGCTCTTATTTCTATAATTTCAGTTTTTTTAGAGGGTGTCAGGTTTTCTTGCTGTTCTTTTTCAATTTGTTGGAGATGGGTTAGAGAGTCAATGGTCAATTTTTCCTGCCTTTTTATGTGTTTGCTTATTGCTATAAATTGACCTCTGATTATTGCTTTGGCTGTTTACCAGAGGTTTTGGTAAGTTGTGTTTTCATTGTCATTTATTTCAAGAAAGTTTTTAATTTCATTTTTTATTTCTTCTATTACACAGTCATGTTCAAGCAAGGTGTTGTTCAGCTTCCCAATGTATGTATGATCAAGACAGCATGGTACTGGTATAATGACAGACACATAGATTAATGGGATAGAATTGAGAACCCAGAAATCAGCCCATCTACCTATGGTAAACTGGTTTTTGACAAGGAGATGAAATCAGTTAAGTGTGAAAATGATAGCCTTTTAACAAATGGTGTTGGCAAAATTGGAAAACTATCTGCAGAAAACTCAAGCAAGATCCACAAATCACTCCATACACAAAAACCAACTCTAGGTGGATCATGGACCTAGGACTAAAACCAAGAACTATAAAGCTTCATTAAAGAAAAACTTGGAAGGACTCTAAAAGTCGTAATCCATAACATAAGCAGTCTTCCAAACATCCTGAAAAATCTACAACCAGGAAAGGATAAAATAGATGAATGGGACCTTCTAAGAATCAAATCTCTATGCACAACTAAAATCTTCTCCAACAGGGTAAAAAGGGAAGCCACAGACTGGAAAAAAAGTATTTGGTAATGACATGTCAGATAAGGGACTTATATCTAGAATTTATAAAATACATGAGCACCACAACAAGATAAAAGTAAACAATCCAATTGAAAAATGGGCACAGGACATGTACAGACACTTCACCAAAGAAGAAATTTAGATGGTCAACAAACACATTAAGAAATGTTCAAAATCCCTAGCTCTAAGAGAGATGTAAATCAAAACAAATATGAGATATCATCTTGCCCTAGTAAGAATAGCAAAATTAAACAAAACAACAAGCTACAAATGCTGGCGAGGTTATGGAGAAACTGGAACCCTTGTTCACTGCTGGTAGGAGTGTAAAATGGTGCAACCACTATGGAAGGCAGTATGGTACTTTCTCAAAAAGTTGCAAATAGAAATACCATTTGACCCAGCAATTCCACTACTGG